TTTTAGTAAAATATTAATTAGGCGCCAGCAGGTGGCATGGTGGTTAAGGCGCTGGACTCCCACATGGCTGACTGTGGTTCAAGTCCCAGACCTAGATGTTTGCTTTCTCACTGTCTCTCTATCTCTGGTTAAATTAAAAATTACTACTAATAAATAAAATTAAATAAATAATTCTTTAAAAAATTAATCATATTAGAGGTGGCTAGCCCTATCTTACAGAGGATTTTATAAGGAATCATTCTTCAGGAAGACCTCTTTTCTGTGTGAACAAGTGATATAAAAACCTCTTATCTCTTTGTCTTGCTGAAAGACTTTTATTTATAATATATTTTGGTCATGAAGTTTTTCTTTTACGTATTTATTTTCAGACACGTTGAGTCCATTCACCAGGAGCCCGTTTTTTCTTTCATATCTGACCACACTCTGCAGTATATTTTCTAATTAACTGGATTATTTTTTTAAAAGTTCTTAAAGCCAAAATTAGAAAAAAAAATAGCTTTTCTGTTTTTCCAAACTGACTTTTGTAGTTAAATTCTATCAGGTATTATTTTTAAGGAGTCTTTTTACATGAAAAAAAGTTTGTAGAAGCCTAAAAAGAATATGAAATAGTAAAAACATACATAATTTAAGTATTGACTGTTTCACAATTTGTAATGGTGCTGATGATATTAACATCTGAAATGATGTTTGGTTATTTTGTTTGGGGAAAATCAACATTGACCAGAAAAGCCTGGCACTCTGTGTTTGGTAAAAATACGATTGGTGCCCATTACTACTTACTAATTATTTTAAAATGTTCCATTTTGAACACAAAATAAAAAACTTTTTCTTTTTTTTGTTTTTAAATACCAATTTCCCTCAAAGAGGTAGCACTTGTTTAAAATTTTATACCTTAGGGATCAGCAGATGATGTAGTGGTTATATCGCTGGACTCTCACATGGTCGACTGCAGCAGCGTAAGCTCACAGTGCATGCCCAGGATCCCAAGAGGAGAATGGAGAATGGATTGCAGTGTGGTCATCCCCCCTGGGGAGTGATTCCTTGCTTTGCTTTCTGTCTCTCTGTCTCTTAGGCGAGCACATGCGCCCTATAGCAAACATCTCTCTTAAAAAAAATTATATTTTAGGATAAATATATGAATTAATCCCTTGCTTTTTTGCAAATGCACTTTGAAGAGATACAAAATTAAGACATTAAGCTCTGAAAGAAACAAGTGAAAAGATATATAGTGAGGAAAAAACTTTAAGGTTACCCAGGGAAAACTTCCTTAATGATTTTACCTAAATCTAGGCCTGGTCCTAATTGTTTAATTAGTTTTTGCTCTTTGTCAGTCAAGTTCCTAGCTAATAGCTTAACCATTAAAAAATGGTCATTAAAAAATGTTCAGATGGCCCGAAGGTGACATGGTGGTTAAGGTGCTGAACTCCCACATTGCCAACCATGGTTCGAGCTCCACCCAGTGGCTTGAAAAATTATACTAGGTGGGGGCCAGCAGATGGCATAGTGGTTACATCACTGGGCTCCCACAGGGCTGACATCAGTTCGAGTCCCAGACTGCTGGCTTGAAACTCATGCCTGGCACATGTGTGTACATGCCAAGATCTTGGGAGAATAATGAAGAGAAGGGATCACGACATGGCCATGCCCCTAGGAGGTGATTTCACACTTTCCCTGTCACTGTGCCTCTCTCTCTCTCTCCCTCTCTCCAGTGAGCACATGAGCGCCGGAAACTGCTCGGCTGAACACATCTTTCTGAGTGGGAAAGGCTATGGATTAGAAATAAATGCAATAACAAAGACACACAAGTACAGAAAAGAGAGTAGGGTCGAGTGGGCCCAACTTCTCTGATGGAGAAGCTGTGACCTTGAACCGGCCTCAGATTTACTCTTTTAAAGGGCAAAAAACAGGGTAAGAGGAATGAAAGAAGAGGGAATGGAGTGCAGAGCCAGTTGCTTTTGGATGTAAATCATTTGAAGATGTGAAAACAGCTTTTGCCATGTAATTTCTCTGATCTTCTCGGGAGAATCTGATACACACATGTAGCGTCCTTTAGCCTCATACTGCCCAGCAGTATCAGGTATTAACAACAACAGGAAGATAACCAATAACAACAGGCAGATAGCTCTTTCATATAAAAATGCTTCTCAATAGCCATTGCTAGAGTAGCTCACGGAAGCGCATTTCTGCATGTGTCTAAAGGTCACGTTTTCTCAGATTGCCATTCTATACACATATGCCCTAAGAAAAAATCCTTTTAAAAAAAGAAAGAAAATCATACCACGTGTGTGTATATGCATGCCCCAAATTCCAGGAGAAGAATGGAGGAGAAGGGATTGTGGCGTGACCATCCCCCCTGGGGGGTGATTTCTCTCTTTCTATCTCTCTGTGTCTCTTGGTCTCTTTTTGGTGAGTTAATGTGCCCTATGGTGAAATAAAAATTCAGCCAGTCATCATTAACAGACCTTGGTTTACTGTCTAGAAAAACGACCCAAAGTCAAGCTCATGGGTCAAAGGGTTATATTTGAGATAAGAGTTGGAACCAGTGGATGGCGTAATGGTTATGTTGCTGGACATGGTTTGAGTCCTTAACCGGGCAGCTTAAAACTCATGCAGGGCTTGTGTGTGTGTGTGCCCAAGATCCCAAGAGAAGAATGAAGGAGACGGGATTGCGGTGTGGCCATCCCCTCGGGGGGCGATTTCTTGACTTTTGTTTCTCTGCCTTTCACTGTCTCATGTGCCCTATAGCAAACACCTCTCTCTCTAAAAAAAAATAAATAAATAAGGGACCAGCAGTTAACGTAAGGGCTATGTCGCTGGACTCCCATGTAGTTGACCGCGGTTTGTGTCCCGGACCTGGTGGCTTAAAACTCACACCGGGTGTGTGTGCTTTCATGCCCAAGATCCCTCAAGGAGAATGGAGGAGAAGGGATTGCAGCGTGGTCATCCCCCCGGGGGTGATTTTTCGCTTTCTGTCTCTCTGTCTCTGTCTGTCTGGCGAGTGTACGCGCCCTATAGCAAAAACCTCTTGAAAAGAAAAAAGAAAGAAGAGAAAAGATATGAGTTTGACTTAGACTCAAAATAGCTGTGTACAAAACCACCCTTACCTCTAGAATGACCCCAGGTAAAACAAGGCAGATTGTCTTTGAGCAATCTCTAGAAAGCAGTGATTCATGCCTCTTCTGTTGAGATACTTTTATCAGCAGCTGCAGCTGCAATTGAATTCTGGGGAAATACCAAAAAGGGAGACTAGGGATGCTTTTAATACTTATTTTGTTTTGGTTTTACTAATTTATTTTGGTCTTGATACACAAGAAGGCACTTAACTGAGAAGATTATTTATGTTCATATTTTAAATAAATAGATGCATTATCTTTCCACAATTGCAACCATGTACTGCTATGGTTATTTTACTTTTTTTTTTTCATTTTTAAAGGTTTTTACCATAGGACACATGCGCTTGCTGAAGAGAGACAGAGAAAGAGAAAATGAGAAATCATCCCCTGGGGGATGGCTACTCTACAATCCTTTTTCCTCCTGGAATTTTGGGGATGCACACACATGCACCCAGGATGATTTTCAAGCTACCAGGTCCAGGACTTGAACTATTTTCAGCCACGTGGGAATCCAGTGCCTTAACCCCTCGCCACCTGCTTATTTTACTTTATATTACTCTGCAGGCCACTTACCAAGTACAGATATATGAGGCTTGCTAAGAAGCAGGTCTTCCTTGCCAGAGATAGGACGATGAACAAAATGAGTTGATAGATCTCTTCCAAAAACTGTATGTGCTCCCTGAATTTGCTGCCATTCACTCATGGGAAAGGTTTGTCTCTGAATGTCTCAAAAAGACCCTCCCAGCAACTAAAAGGCCTGCAACCACAGGACTCTGATATTTCTCTGTTAACACAATGCCATATTCACAGATGAGGAAGAATGTCAGCTGACCCACAAGTACAAGTTATCTTCTTCCCTCTTGCGTGTTCTACCAAGGTTTTTTCTCTCTATTTATTTATTTATTTATTTATTTATTGAGAGGTTTTTCGCTATAGGGCGGGTGCACTCGCCAGATAGACAGAGAGATATATAGAGACTGAAAGTGAGAAATCACCCCCCAGGGGGGATGGTCACACTGTAATCTCTTCTCCTCCATTCTCCTCTTGGGATCTTGGGTACACGCACACGCACCCGGCGTGAGTTCTAAGCCACCGGGTCCAGGACGCGAACCGCGGTCAACTATGTGGGAGTCCAGCAACATAGCCATTACGCTAACTGTTGGTTCCCTCTTTTTTTATTTTTTATTTTGAGAGAGAGAGAGAGATTTTTGCTATAGGGCATGTGCACTTGCCACAGAGACAGAGAGAATGAAAGTGAGAAATCACCCCCCAGGAGGGATGGTTATGCCACAATTCCTTCTCCTCTATTCTCTTGGGATTTTGGGCACACACACACACACACACACACACACACACACACATGGCCAGCATGAGTTTTAAGCCACAGATCCAGGACTTGAACCACGGCTGACTATGTGAGAGTCTAGCAACTTAACCATCATGCCATCTGCTGGACCCTCTACCAATGTTTTCAAAGTCATTTTGGTACTTTCTATTGACTAAAGGACACTATAACACACTTAACCGTTCATCCTCTCCCATTCTTTTGGCTCATCTATGGGATGAGTCTGATAACAGTCAAAAATACATTCTCTGTGCCTGTGCCAAAAATTCTTTCCTAGTGTTTCCCTTCAATTCCTTTTCTTGCTTCTAAGTGCCTGTGATTAAAATCTTCCTTATTAGAGACTTCCGAATCATAAGCAACCCTTCACTCCCACTTTACTTTGGGACATTCTCATGTATGCTGAGGAATAGTTCAATAATCTTGTTTTAAATATTCATGAATATTCTTTTTCCATAATTATTGGAATTGATTAGTAGTCAAGAAGAAATAATAGAAAAATTAGTCTTATATAGATTGACTCTTTCAATATCTTCTTCCTTTAGCAGTTTCAGAGATACCCAGTAAAACATATAGTTCGTCACCCTCAAGAGCAAGCTCAACACTTGATGGTGAGTACTTGGGGAGGATTTAAAGACATGAAAGATAGTGGTCTCTTTATTTGGATAGAGGTGGAGAAACAACTGATAAGAAATCGATCTCAGATAGGTATTTGAATGTGCCTCTTGATGAAAAGGATAATGAATGAAACTAAAGTTATCTTTAGCTCTTCAAAAAATATAGTCAGAGACTAAATATTAGATTGTTCTCTACATTATTTCATAAAGAAACCTACACACTGTCATTTTTTGGGCCAGTTTCATCCATGAAAAATGCATTTCAATTTTTAATTTACCATTGAAATATGGAAGGATTAGTTAATATCAATTTGTCTAGTCTATGTTAAAAAGGAATTTTTATTGAGCTTATCAAACACATTGGAGTTAGAGGACTAAATATGTTCACCCTCTGACTTTCCAATAACCTGGGAAAATAGGTTCCCCCTCATTTTTCCATAACCCCAATTTATACATCTTCTCTTACCACTTAAATTTTCATGGAGCTTCTCTAGAAGACATTATTTTGTTGGTTGAAAGTATACATCTTATCTCCTTTTTCTTTAAACCTACTGAAAGTTCCTCCCTTTGGTAACCGTTACATAGATTCCACACTCCCAGCCTTACTGTAAATTGGTCCCTAGTAAACTTTACACATACTTTAAGAACATTCCAGCCATTCAATTTGAGCTTTTTTCTAATAGCATTTGAAAAACAATATTTTTTTTTCTTTTTTTTTTTTTTTTGGAGAGGTTTTCGCTATAGGGTGCGTGAGCTCGCCAGACAGACAGAGAGAGACAGAGAGACAGAAAGTGAGAAATCACCCCCCAGGGGGGATGGTCACGCCGCAATCCCTTCTCCTCCATTCTCCTCTCGGGATCTTGGGCACGCACGCACAAGCGCCCGGCATGAGTTTTAAGCCACCGGGTCCAGGACGTGAACCGCGGTCAACTATGTGGGAGTCCAGCGACATAGCCATTATGCTAACTGCTGGTTCCCGAAAACCAATATTTTTAATACCTATCAGGTTGTGATGGCTGTTAAGATTAGTTGAAATCTCCCCTTTATATCCTTAGATGAGGTCTTCACCAGCACGACCAGGGCACTTTCAGAAGTTCTCACAACTGCCAATGGATCTACTAAAAGAAATCGCATCGTTATCACTGGTGAGTCATTTGTCATTTTTTTCTTGCTATGTTTTGTTCACTCAACAAATACTTATTGAGTGCCAAACATTTGCCACGTGCCCATGCCAGTTGTTGACTATGCAGAAAATTCCCGAAGATTATAATGTATTAGAGATAATAAATAATCACACAATTAAATGTATCTGTGACAAGTACTGTAATAAAGTGTTGTTGGAGTCTTACAGAACGACCTGGTTTTCATTTGAGACTAGGAAAGGGTTCTCTGAGGATATAATATTTAAAATAAAATATAGAAAAAGAATAAGAATTTGTCAGATGAAAAATAACAAGTAACACTTCAGACTTGTGAAAACACACTCTGAGAAATAGATTGTTGGAATAAAGAGTATTACTATAATTCAACTAACAACATTTTGTCAATGCAAAATATAATCCCTTATTTTGTATCCAAGAGAGCAAGGGATGCAGTAAAGTTGGGGCCTCCCAATGTGGGTCATGACTGTACATTCACAGGCGTATTCTACTCTATCACTTCAGGGAATGTTTGCTTGACTAGTGAACTGTCTGCCTTGGAAAAGAACTTGTTTCATCAAAAGTCAGACAGTGTTCAGGTCATTAGTGTCATCCTGTACATATAATGTCACTAGAGCTACAAAACGAGGAATTCCCAACATTTTAAGATATTGGTGCCAGGGGCCGACCACTTGGCCTAGTGGTTGAGGAGCTGGGTCTCACTCAGCCAACTACAGTTGACTCCTAGCCCCAGAAACTCAAAGAACACACCAGGAATGTGTGTGTGAGTGGCCCAAATCCTGACTGGATGGAAAATTGAGAGAAGGGATTGCAGAGTAACCAAGTCCCCTCATGGGCCACTTTCTCTCTCTCTCTCTTTCAAGCAAACATGCCCTCTGAAAATTAAAAAACATAAAAAGATGTTGATATTACTGCTGTAAAGAACAGTTTACTTTAGAGATCAGTCAAGATAAGATCTCTTCTTTTCCACTAAAACATACCTGAAGGCAATGATGTTACTTTCTATACGTAGTTGGAAGAGAACTAATAGTCATCGATGTAAGATCTATGTAACACCTTTTGTTTTTCCATTTCTCTAAAATTTTGGAGGTGAAATGCAATCTTACCAGAGCCTAATAAGTTTTGGCTTTGATTAAAATAGAACTTTTTCCAGTCCTTAGTTGACCACCTGTGATTGTTTCTTTTGTGATCACACTAGAGATTTGAGCGTCCATGAACTCTATATACATTGTCTATAGAAGGTGCTGCATGGTTGTGTGTTTTAGGATTATGTGGGCTTTTATGCTATCTTCAGTCTACTCAACAGGGCCAAGGTAGGATGAGTATCAGAAAGACCTTGAATCCCTGTGTATGTGTTCTATGGAAAGGAAGAATCTTCAGCACTGATAACCGGTGCTGACGTGATAATGCCACACATCTGAAGTGCACACTGTATATAATAAAGAAATGATTTCATAACTAATATCTAAAATCCAGTTCTTTGATTTGCATTTTCTGAGGCTTCACTGTATGAAAAGCAGTGTAATAAAAATTGAGCAATAAAAGAAATCAAAAAACTTTGTCTTCACCTTCAAACAGGTTACCATCCAGTTGAAACCATGAAAGACCAACCTAGATAACTTTTTGCCCAAATGGTCTATATAATTTATCTAAAGATCTATCTATAATTGGTAAGGAATTTCAGGAGAGTGTTGTTAAAAATAGCAAAAGCCTGAAACAATTTAACCATCTAACATGAAAAGACCAATGAAATAAACTAGAGCAGATCCACTGGGGAAGAATCTAGTCGTCTAATAAAATGAGATTGGTCTCTATGCACAGCTACGAAAAGTATTCCAAGATTTTTTTTTTTTAAGAAATGATGCCAGAAACAGAAGAGTGTGGATAGTATGCTCCATTTGTAATAAAATGTATATATATTCATGATACATACACATGTTAGCATGTTCATAGAAATTCTCAGGCAGGTTATATAGTAGTTAAAAGTTATTGCCTCTTGTGTGGGTAACAAGACGTAAGCACATCCCAAAGCATGATTATAGTCCATGAACACCTCCATGGCCCTTGGAGAGCACGCTTCAGGTAGGAGAAATAGTTCAATTAATTCCGTTTTTCAAATGCCAGGGTTTGACATAAAAGGTCATCTCTCTTTGTGCCCTTTTCAGGTACTGTGATTAATAAGCCCAAAGATGGAATGTCCTGGCCAGTAATTGTAGCAGCTTTGCTCTTTTTCTGCATGGTATCATTTGGTATTGGAGTGAGAAAATGGTGTCAGTACCAAAAAGAAATGTGAGTATACTACTAAGCTATGTAGGAATTGATCATTTGCATCCTAAAATATTTACTCAGCCCCAAATATTATCACTATCTAGAGTTCTCTGATACTTTAAGAAGGAAATAAGGCCCACAGAAGCTCAGGGAGGCTATAGGGTTTTTCCAGCATCACACACTTGGAATTAAATGCACGACTCCTGACTCAGTCTCCCTCTCTGCCTTGGCCTACTCAAGCTGTAACACGTCAGAAGGAGCAAGTCAGTGGGCATGAAATGAGAATGGAGCCTCAAGTCACCTCAAAACAGAAAGTGCCTTTTCTTTTAATCTTCATTATTTTTTTCATTTTCATGCATCTCTGCCCTGCCTGGGCTCAGCTGGGCCTAGATGCTCAAGTGTGAAATTGAGTGAAAAAGGTAATTTTAAGAGAGTTCCGCTACTTTTCATCAGAGTGGACTTTTAATGCCCTTTCCCTTTTTTCCCAGGGGAAAAGAAAGTAAGCTCTGGCTTCTCTCTCTCTCACTGTCTTATTAAGATATTATCCAAAACCCTACTCCACTCAGTGGTCTGAAATAGCATGTAGGGTTAAACCTTCCTTTTTTGACTTGCTATGTTGGATCATTCAGAATTGGGCATGGTAAAAGGAGAGCCCATAATACACAGAGCTGATCTTGCACATGTCTTACTGCTACTGTGTAGAAGTAAGATGATATTGACCATTACAAATATGCTCTGCTACTTTTTGTAGAGTATGTTTAAAGACTATAAAACCACACACAGGGAATATTTCATGATGAATGAAGCACTAAACCAACCAGTAGTTAGAAATTCTAGATTATTTTTTTAGAAAGATTTTTGCTATAGAACACATGCCCTTGCCAGAGAGACAGAGGGAGAAAAAGTGAGAAATCACACACACACACACACACACACACACACACACACACCTGCCCCTGGGAGGATGACCATGCTGCAATACTTTATCCTTCATTCTCCTTTCAGGATTTTGGGTATACATGTACGCATGCCTGGTATAACTTTCAAGCCACTGGGTCCAGGACTTGAACTATGGTCAACCATGTGGGAGTCTAGCACCTTAACCACTATGCCACCTGCTAGCTCCAGAAATTCTGGATTCTTATTCAAGGACTATACCATGACTACCATATGACCTTAAGAAAATAATAATTTCTCTGAAAAAAAAAACAACAACAGTACACATTTCTTAGAATTGTGTACACCTTTTGATAAGTAAGTCTTCATTAAGGAATTAAAAAATTAGGTAACAAATATTAGAGATCTTTATGTTCAAATGAACAAATGGGAATCTGAACTGATTATTTGTAATTGCTTTGTATTAAAATATCTATGTTATATAGAATAAGAAACAGTCTCTCTTTCTAGATGTCTGGATTGACAAAAAGGTATAAGGCATTTGAGACATGTACACAAAGATTTCACAGATGTATTTTTGTTTCTTGGTATCATGAAAGCTGAGCCATGTATACAGCTAAATCTCACACTAACCTGGATGCTTAGTGCATTTCAAATGAGAAATGAGTTGCGCTAACATAACACAGTGCTTTGTACAAGGACGGCTGTAAGAATATCCACTGATTTAAACAAAAAGGGCATCCAACCAGTGCCAACCAACTTGGGGACTCAGATGAGCCTGACTCCCACCTCAGACATTTGCTCACAGGGTACAATGAGTCCCCTCCTCCTGAGAGGAGAGTTGGCAGAGGGGCTATTTGAAAAGCTTTGGTCTTAAGTTCTAGAATTTCAAGTTTTTATCTCTGAAGAAATGCTTTAACGCACATGAGAAGATATTTCTGTTAAGAGACAGATGTCATGGAGAGTATCATTTCTGGTTAAAAGACTTGAATTGATGGTCTGGTTTTCTTAAGCAAGTTGTGTAAAAACTCAGAGCTTCAGTTCTCTCTGTAGAATGATGGCACTATACCCAATTCCTAGATACAAAATAAACAGCGGTGTAGTGAAAATGCTTTGCAAACTGTAAAATACCATTTAAATAATAGTTAGCAGTGTGGTCCTGGTGTTCCAATGGCTAAGGCAGCTAAAAACACAGTAAAAATTAAGCTGTGTTAAGCCAGCAACAATTCTGGAAGAACTAGAAGGGTGTATCTCTCATCAATTTGTCTTCCCTTTAGAGAAAAGAAAGAAAATATGGGAGCAGCAGATGGCGTAATCGCTTTGTCGCTGGACTTCCATGTAGCTGACTGCGGTTTGAGTCCTGGACCTGGTGGCTTAAACTCATGCCAGGCGTGTGTGCGTGTATGCCCAAGATCCCAAGAAAAGAGTGGAGGAGAAGGGATTGTGGCGTGGCCATCCCCCCAGGGATGATTTCTCGCTTTCTGTCTCTTTGTCTCTCTCTTTCTGACAAGCACATGCACCCTATAGCTAAAACCTCTCCACAGAAAAAGAAAGAAAGAAACCAAATAGGCCAGCCTCAGCGGTGGAGCAGTAACTCAGCACTCTGTGGATGTTGAGATCACTTAGAAGGTCCTGGATTCACATACCAAAGTATGTCTACATAAGTGCCCATTATTTGGGCTGTCTGAAGATAGGAGTGAATCGTGGCAAAGACCCTGTTTGGAATGACTCTCTCCCTCAAAATACATAAACATTAATAAACTTTTAAAATATTTTCATTAAATTACCATTTTAAAATACACACATATTTGTATTACTCTCTCCATTCCTAGCATTGAAAGAGCAATGTTTTTTTTTTTTTCTCTAGCATGGAAAGACCACCACCTTTCAAGCCACCACCACCTCCCATCAAGTACACCTGCATTCAAGAGCCCATTGGAAGTGATCTGCCTTGTCATGAGATGGAGACACTCTAGTCTTTGAGACTGGGCCATACAGCAGAACTCTGCTAGAATCCTATCAAGAAGGTAGACATTGTGCTTGTTAATATAATCTCCTCCAGCCAAGCCTCTGCTGCAGCTGATAGCAGATGTCAGAAGTGAATGACCTGTTTCTCCTCAACTCGCCCTCTCTTATCTGCATGTGCCTAAAATTTAAACAGGAGTTAAGAATGTATGTCATGCTCATGCCCAGTGCGATCTGTAGAGATTTTCTTGCTTATATAGGAAATGCACATTAGGCTTCAGTCATTAAAAAATACTTAAAGTGTTTTCATTTTAATTTTCTGACTGAGAGGACAGCAATCATTCTAAACATATGTCTATACCAGATTCTCTTCTTGTGGACAGCTGCCAACATTTTATGTGCCAAAATTCTGAGAATTTCTGAGTCTTGCATTCCCCAAGAAAATTATGACAAGAAGAAAATATAAATGTTCCTGCAAGGGTATAAAATAATAGGGAAGTATGGCTAATCTTCATATTTTACCATTTATTTTTGCTGAAGAAACGCAGAATAGCTTGCATAAGAACCACAATTTTTAAGGGAAATTTTCGCTATAGGGTATGTGCACTTGTCAGAGACACAGAGAGACAGAAAGTGAGAAATCCTCCTCTAGTGGGGATGGCCACTCTGCAATTCCTTCTCCTCTCTTCTCCTTGTAGGATTTTGGGCACATACTCACGTATGAGTTTCAAGCCTCTGGGTCTGAGATTTGAACCCCAGTCGACCATGTGGGAGTTCAGTGATATAAACATTACACCATCAACTGGTCCCCAAAACCACATTTTTAGTCCTCCTTCACCCTTTTTCCCATCACGTTCAGCCTAGGCTTCTGATGTATGGACCAAGATGAGAAGGGATCAAAGAGACACCTAGTTAACCACCAAGTAGTCTAGTAGATACAAGACCTTACTGTCTATAAAGTTATATTAGCTAAGAACGGTTTCATTCTCAGTTTTTCCTCTCAGTGTGTACACATCAAACTAGCATCAAACCATTACATAAGTAATCAGGCAGCTAACTCTAATCCAATTCACCGAATTCACATTATATTCTTTTCATGTGGGAACTTTTTCATTCATTCTTAGATAAAAACAGGAATGTTTTTATCTATCTTGAAACACAAAATAAAAAGCCTAAATCAGGCTGGCACTGATAAATTCACTGTGCATCTACCATTTTTTTTCCTATGTAGTGCATGCACTCACTGGAGAGACAGAGAAAGAGAGGGAAAGTGAAAAGTCACCTCCTCCTTCCCACAGTGGATAACCATGCTCAATCTCTTCTCCTCCACTCTCCTCTTGGGATTTTAGACATGCATGCACATGCACCTGGCATGTTTCTCAAGCTACAGAGTCTGGGGCTTAAACCACACATTGGGTCATGTGAGATCCATCTGCCTTACCCATTCGATCACCTGGCCGACCCTCCTACCAATCTTTTACAAAGCAATTCAAGCAGAATGTAGAGGTACCAGAGGAAACTTTGTCATACTGTATATTCAGCAACTGTTTGTGAGTTCACAACTTACTAATTCCCTTTGTTCCCCCAAACTTCCCTGTACTTTCTGCTCCTGAAAGGAAGAACAGATGTTGGCAGATATAATAATAGGAAAATTATGTATAGACTTTAGTTCCAAAAGAAACCTTTAGTTCGTTTTCAGTATACTATCCTCGACTCCACATGAGAATAACTTGGAGAGTGTCTTTTGTAAACATCATGGCTATCCCACTCTAGTTCAATTAATTCAGAATCTTTGAGGGGTGAAACACAAGCATCAGCATTCTCTCATGATTCATTGTTCAGCCAAAGTTGAGTACTGCGAACCAGTGGAAGTTCTTTTTTATTGATCATAATCTTGGAGAGGTGCTTAACTCTTGTGCTGGACAGCCTCCAACTTGACCTCTAATGATTCTTGCATCCTGCTATTCACAACCTTATAGAATCCCTTCCAACAGTGTATAGAACTGACTTGTGTAACCCAAGGCTGGTGTTACAGTGAGGCAAGTAAGGTGACAAGGTGCAGATTTTAAGAAAGTATTCACACTCAGGGGCATGCACTTGTGCAATCTTAAGAGTGAGTGCCAGTCCCACCTCTAGTATAACCATTAAGATACTGCAAAAATGACCAGTGTGACTTCAAAGGCTAGGTCATAAAATACATTATAACTTCTGACTTGATCCTGTTTGATCACTGGCTCTGGGAAATGCCCATTCCTATTCCATGAGGACACTGAAGCAGCTATACTGAGAGATCCACCTGTCAAGAAACTGAGGTCCCTCGTGAATGGCAAATATCAACTTGCCATCCAGGTAAGTGAGTTATCCTGGAAGCAGATCCTCCAGCCCTAGTCATGTTTCCAAATAACCTTAGCCTCAGTTGATCTTTTAGCTAGGACTGCATGAGAGTCAGAACCACCCACCTAACTCTCTTCTGAATCTCTGATCCACATACACTAGGAGATAATATTTACTTCTTAACATCACTAAGTTTTAGTGTAATTTGTTTCATAGTAATAGATAAATCATACATCTCTCAATAAATGCAAGAACAAACTGTTTGACTTCCATTGTTATGCTAAATTCTCATTAGTTCTCGAGAAACCAAGACTAGTTTTATGTACATGACTTGTTGCTTTATCTGTATATTTATTTTCAAATAAAAGTTAGATATCAATTATTTGTAGAAGTCCTTGTGATTTTCTTTTACTCTTTAAGAAGCAGAAGTACAGGTGGAAGTATTGAGGTAAAACGTAACAGAAATACGGAAATTGTTTCAGTTAAAGGAGAGACAGTTTTGCAGGACAAAATAAATCTCTGTAATTTTTCAATCTATCACAATGACAGGTGTCTCAGTGTTTTTATATGAGTTCTCCTTCGAAGTACCTTCTTTTAATCTTGTGAGTAAATTCTGGTGAGCGTTTGCAAATCCACCTACCAATTGGATAGAGTGAACAGCTGTGTGTCCATGAAGGGATGCCCAATCAGTGGTTCTGAGGAACCTTCCAAATTCTGCAAAGTAAACGAGCTCCAAATGCATCCAGGTGGTGCTATGAGCTTGACTTCCCTCATTTGACGAAGATGACATTTCATCTGCACCTTAAACTGTGTGCAGATAAACTTGAACAGCCTTTTTCAAACCAGCATCTCTTCTCCCTAGAAGTAGATTTAGTTCTGTCTCACAGAAATAGCAATACTAGACTCTAATATTTAAAGTTCTGCATGTCTTTATCACCACCATTTAGTCTGAGAAGCCATGACTGTATTACTCACTTTCAAAGCACTATATATTAGATAACATTTTTATTCAGAAACACTCATTTCCTGCCCCAGCCTCAGTGCACTAAACTGCACCACAGCTGAACCACTGGTTTAGATCCTACGCAGAACTAAAAACATGCTAGGTACATGTAGGGCCAAGATTCTGATGAGCTGGAGAGCTGGGAGAATCATGTGAAATCATCTTGTCCAGATTGCCTCTTTCTCCCTCTCTCTGTCTCTCTCATGCATGTACATGTGTTCTCTCTCATGAATAAAATAAATAAACCTCAATACAATGATTAATTTTCTTACCCACCAGCACCAGCAGTACACCTTTACTTTGGTCTTGGTTACATGACATGTTTTGGCAATGGAATATCATAGGCATGACTAACGCTAGGCTTGAAAAGCTGTTTGTGTGATTGGAGCTCCTTCTCTTGTGCTCTGCCATTGCCATGAGAAGAATGGTTTCAGGCTAGTCTACCAACGACAAGAAGAGTCATGGAATATAGCAGAACCAGCCAAGACAGGTCCAGTCCAGCTTGACAAACCTCAACGTACCTCATAAGTTAAATATCGTTGAATGCCACTGAAATTGAGTAATAGTTACTTGGCAATACTGTAGTTAGCCTTTCCATGCAGGTCCAGAGGTAAAGCATATTTTGGTTCATATACAAGTGCCTAAGCCTAGAGATAAAATGTGTTTTAGTTGGGTCAGTCCTGTGACCCAGTGGTTAAGGGAGACGTATACCACACAGCCAACAAGGTGGTTGGTCCTGGCAGCTTAAAAAACAGCTGAACCAGTGGAAGTTCTTTTTTATTGATCATAATCTTGGAGAGGTGCTTAACTCTTGTGCTGGACAGCCTCCAACTTGACCTCTAATGATTCTTGCATCCTGCTATTCACAACCTTATAGAATCCCTTCCAACAGTGTATAGAACTGACTTGTGTAACCCAAGGCTGGTGTTACAGTGAGGCAAGTAAGGTGACAAGGTGCAGATTTTAAGAAAGTATTCACACTCAGGGGCATGCACTTGTGCAATCTTAAGAGTGAGTGCCAGTCCCACCTCTAGTATAACCATTAAGATACTGCAAAAATGACCAGTGTGACTTCAAAGGCTAGGTCATAAAATACATTATAACTTCTGACTTGATCCTGTTGGATCACTGGCTCTGGGAAATGCCCATTCCTATTCCATGAGGACACTGAAGCAGCTATACTGAGAGATCCACCTGTCAAGAAATTGAGGTCCCTTGTGAACGGCAAATTATCAACTTGCCATCCAGGTAAGTGAGTCATCCTGGAAGCAGATCCTCCAGCCCTAGTCATGTCTCCAAATAACCTTAGCCTCAGTTGATCTTTTAGCTAGGACTGCATGAGAGTCAGAACCACCCACCTAACTCTCTTCTGAATCTCTGATCCACATACACTAGGAGATAATATTTACTTCTTAACATCACTAAGTTTTAGTGTAATTTGTTTCATAGTAATAGATAAATCATACATCTCTCAATAAATGCAAGAACAAACTGTTTGACTTCCATTGTTATGCTAAATTCTCATTAGTTCTCGAGAAACCAAGACTAGTTTTATGTACATGACTTGTTGCTTTATCTGTATATTTATTTTCAAATAAAAGTTAGATATCAATTATTTGTAGAAGTCCTTGTGATTTTCTTTTACTCTTTAAGAAGCAGAAGTACAGGTGGAAGTATTGAGGTAAAACGTAACAGAAATACGGAAATTGTTTCAGTTAAAGGAGAGACAGTTTTGCAGGACAAAATAAATCTCTGTAATTTTTCAATCTATCACAATGACAGGTGTCTCAGTGTTTTTATATGAGTTCTCCTTCGAAGTACCTTCTTTTAATCTTGTGAGTAAATTCTGGTGAGCGTTTGCAAATCCACCTACCAATTGGATAGAGTGAACAGCTGTGTGTCCATGAAGGGATGCCCAATCAGTGGTTCTGAGGAACCTTCCAAATTCTGCAAAGTAAACGAGCTCCAAATGCATCCAGGTGGTGCTATGAGCTTGACTTCCCTCATTTGACGAAGATGACATTTCATCTGCACCTTAAACTGTGTGCAGATAAACTTGAACAGCCTTTTTCAAACCAGCATCTCTTCTCCCTAGAAGTAGATTTAGTTCTGTCTCACAGAAATAGCAATACTAGACTCTAATATTTAAAGTTCTGCATGTCTTTATCACCACCATTTAGTCTGAGAAGCCATGACTGTATTACTCACTTTCAAAGCACTATATATTAGATAACATTTTTATTCAGAAACACTCATTTCCTGCCCCAGCCTCAGTGCACTAAACTGCACCACAGCTGAACCACTGGTTTAGATCCTACGCAGAACTAAAAACATGCTAGGTACATGTAGGGCCAAGATTCTGATGAGCTGGAGAGCTGGGAGAATCATGTGAAATCATCTTGTCCAGATTGCCTCTTTCTCCCTCTCTCTGTCTCTCTCATGCATGTACATGTGTTCTCTCTCATGAATAAAATAAATAAACCTCAATACAATGATTAATTTTCTTACCCACCAGCACCAGCAGTACACCTTTACTTTGGTCTTGGTTACATGACATGTTTTGGCAATGGAATATCATAGGCATGACTAACGCTAGGCTTGAAAAGCTGTTTGTGTGATTGGAGCTCCTTCTCTTGTGCTCTGCCATTGCCATGAGAAGAATGGTTTCAGGCTAGTCTACCAACGACAAGAAGAGTCATGGAATATAGCAGAACCAGCCAAGACAGGTCCAGTCCAGCTTGACAAACCTCAACGTACCTCATAAGTTAAATATCGTTGAATGCCACTGAAATTGAGTAATAGTTACTTGGCAATACTGTAGTTAGCCTTTCCATGCAGGTCCAGAGGTAAAGCATATTTTGGTTCATATACAAGTGCCTAAGCCTAGAGATAAAATGTGTTTTAGTTGGGTCAGTCCTGTGACCCAGTGGTTAAGGGAGACGTATACCACACAGCCAACAAGGTGGTTGGTCCTGGCAGCTTAAAAAACATACTCAGGTACATGTGCATACATGCCCCAAATCCAAAGAGAAGGGATTATAATGGAGTCACTCCTCCCTGCTTTCTCCCTCTCCCTCTCTCTATCTCTCTCTCTCTTTGCCTCTCTCTCTCTGGCTTATAATTGATCTCTCTCTCTCTCTGCCTCTCTCTCTCTGGCTTATAATTGGTATAATAACTGTTATCACTTATGAATTAAGAAAAGGAAAATAAAAGTGTTTTTGTGGAAAAAAAGCCTTCCCTTGGTCTTCCTGGGTTTTCTGTTTGTTTGCGTGTTTATGTGTGTGTGGTTTTTATTGTTGTTTATTTTTGTTTTGTTTTGTTTTGTTTTGCTGTAGGAAGTGGGCAATCACTGGAGAGAGAGAAAGTGAATGAGAAAACACCTCCAAAGGGGAATAACTACCCCGCAATTCCCTCTCCTCCAGGGAATTTGAGCATGCATGCGTACATGCCCAGAGTGCTTTTCAAACTGCCAGGTCCAGGCCTTAAATCATGCAGTCAGCCATAT